TTCGGTTTTCTTAAGCAGGAAAGAGTCACTCGGGAATGAATCCCCCTAGCTCTTTAGTTAGGTTTCAATTGCAATTTACCCTGGGTTGATTTACTGTTGATTAGACTGCAGAAGATCCGGCAGTAGCTTGGAATCTCTTAAGCTGACCAAGCCCTCTCAGTCTAACTACCCGGCAGACGACTAGTCTTCACCGGGATAGAAAGCTGAAGCAGTAAGAACAGAAATTCACTACTGGAATTAGATTCCAGTACAGAGCAGTAAACTGGCTAACTCTCGTATAACCAGTCTCCTACTATCGAATGATGAGACTCTAGCAACCCAATCAGATTCTATCTATCTCAGATTGCAGCAGGAATCAGGAAAAGTTGATCAGACTTCAATTGACTCAATAAACATGCATCATTCGATTATAATCAAACAGTAATATCATACCAAGTCATTACAATCAATCCCCTAACACATAGAACTAGGGTTCTTCATCCCCAAGTGAGAGAGAGGTTCTACTCCATAGAGAGAGAAAAGAAAACAGTAATCGGAGTAGTCATACTCATAATGATGAGGAAAATCTGCTCCGGGATGATGATTTCCACTCCTAGGACGATCTCCACGCTTGATTTGATGAAACCCAGCTCCAAGATGGCTTCTAGGGTGAGTTCTTCGCACTTTCTCTCTCTAGGGCTCTGTTTTTGCACATGAAATTCGATCTCCCCTTCCTTGGCTCGATTCTGGCCTCAAAAACCCGACTCTGGGCAAATTACGGGCTGAATTACGGCCGTAATCACGTCCTGCCCGTAATTCGCCCCAAAACGCACGTTTCAATTAAGCTGAAGGAGGAGAAGATACGCCCGTAATTTCACAATTACCGCCAGTAATTTGGGAATTACGGTCGTAATTCTTGGGAGTCTTGCCCGTAATTTTATCACTGAGAGGAAATTCTGGGGAAAAGGCTCGGCAAATGTTTTACGGGCATGCCCTGACCAATTACGGTCGTAATTTGGCAGGGGCTGCCCGTAATTCGTTTTGTGATTCGCCATCTGACCTCCGAATGACCTGAAACTTGCGCATATGCACCTCTGTACTTGCTAGGACCTGAAATATGGCAAAACAACACAACCTAGCGTAAAATAGGCCAAGCAACAATCAATTCGAGCCAAAATGGACAAGAAATCCGAGTGAAAACACGTGCAAATACGATGCTATCACCCACCAAGTCCCGCAGTTCAGCCATCTGATCATTCTGCACTGGGGCAGCAGGGGCTGCACCTGGCTGCTGGAATTGCCCCTGTCTGGGCTGATATGGTGGCCTCTGGAAGCCCGGTGGTCCCTGTGGAGCTGGTGGTCTGGGATTTGGCCCAGCCCAGGAGAAGTTTGGATGCTGGCGCCACCCCTCATTGTACGTGTTGCTGTAGGGGTCATTGCGCCTGACATTGTTGATGAAGTTCACCTGCTCCTGGGGTGTGGTCGATTCCTTCATCGCCTGGCAGTCTTCCACCATATGATGGGTGCTCTCGCACCACTGGCAGAGCATCGCCTGCTGCTGTCCGGTCCCTGGAATCATCCCGGAACGATCGATAGCTGAGACCAGCTTCGATACTACCTGCACCAAATCAGATGACTGGGTGCCCACAGCATGCACACCCCGGCCTGGTGCTCTCCTCGATCTCCTGGCAGTGCCCCAATCATAACCATTCTCCGCCATCTCTCCAAAGAGTTGATTCAGCTGTGGCGGGGTTTTGGTCAGCATGTTCCCGCCACAAACCGAATCGATCAGCTGCTTGTCCTCCGGGAAGAGGGCGTGATAGAAGGTGCCCACCTTGAACGCATCGTTGAAACCATGATTGGGACACCTGAGGAAAAGACTGTTGTACCTCTCCCATGCATCCCTGATGGTCTCATCCTCATCCTGAGCAAAATGTGTAATTTGCTTCTGCAGGTCAGCTGTCTTGGATGGAGGATGGTAGCGGGTGAGGAACTTGTCCGCCAGGTTGGCGAACGTGGTGATGGATCCCGGAGATCGAGTGTCTAGCCACTCCTTGGCCTGCCCCTCCAGAGTGAATGGGAAGTACCTCAGCTGGATGGCATCTACTGGTACCCCATTGATCTTGATTCCATCGATGAGCTCGTGGAATCGCCTGAGATGTGATCGAGGGCACTCTCCCTCCTTACCACGGAACACTACTGAACCGCGCAGCATGGTGATCACGGAGGTGCTCACCTCAAAGTTGTTGGCTGGGACCTGAGGGTGCTGAATGGGTGACCTCATGTCCGCAGCCCTAGCGGTCCAGTAGGAGCCCATGGTCTGCTCCTCGGGGATCACAGCATGGTTCCCTGGTTCAGCCATCTCTTCTTCTTCCTCCTCTAACTGCAGCTGTGATAGCGCCTCCTCCGCAGCCAGTCGCGCCTTTAGAGCCCGCTTGAAGTTTCTGCAGGTTCGTTCAAGCTCCTGGTCTAGTGGTAGTAGATCTCCCGACTGGCTACGGGTCATGCACTACCTGCACACAATCAGCAGAAACAACCCGTGAAGGCACACAGGTGGAAGAAATAAAAAGCAGAAAATAAAAGCTAGAGTAACAAATTCTCACGTTTCCCCAATAACCTAGAGGGTCCCCGGCAACGGCGCCAAAAACTTGACACGCCAAAACACAACACCAATCTGCGACCAAGTGTAATCGCAGACCGGGAATGCAGTAACAGGCAAGTTATATTATCAACCCGGGCTCTAGATCTACTGCTTACTCAGTGATTCTCTGTTATCTAGCCAACTAGAGTAAGTGATTGTTGTTTAAACTAAAAGCAGAAATAAAGCAGGAAATTGTTCGGTTTTCTTAAGCAGGAAAGAGTCACTCGGGAATGAATCCCCCTAGCTCTTTAGTTAGGTTTCAATTGCAATTTACCCTGGGTTGATTCACTGTTGATTAGACTGCGGAAGATCCGGCAGTAGCTTGGAATCTCTTAAGCTGACCAAGCCCTCTCAGTCTAACTACCCGGCAGACGACTAGTCTTCACCGGGATAGAAAGCTGCAGCAGTAAGAACAGAAATTCACTACTGGAATTAGATTCCAGTACAGAGCAGTAAACTGGCTAACTCTCGTATAACCAGTCTCCTACTTTCGAATGATGAGACTCTAGCAACCTAATCAGATTCTATCTATCTCAGATTGCAGCAGGAATCAGGAAAAGTTGATCAGACTTCAATTGACTCAATAAACATGCATCATTCGATTATAATCAAACAGTAATATCATCCCAAGTCATTACAATCAATCCCCTAACACATAGAACTAGGGTTCTTCATCCTCAAGTGAGAGAGAGGTTCTACTCCATAGAGAGAGAAAAGAAAACAGTAATCGGAGTAGTCATACTCATAATGATGAGGAGGATCTGCTCCGGGATGATGATTTCCACTCCTAGGACGATCTCCAAGCTTGAATTGATGAAATCCAGCTCCAAGATGGCTTCTAGGGTGAGTTCTTCGCACTTTCTCTCTCTAGGGCTCTGTTTTTGCTCAAGAAAATCGATCCTCCCACTTTTTGCTCGGAATAGGCTCTAAAACCAGATTTCCCGACTCGCACGGCCAGGGTGCACGACTGTGCATATCACCATTCCGGCCGTGCAACTCAAAACGCAGCGTGTCATTTAGTCGATCTCTCGCACGGCCAGGGTGCACGGCCGTGCGAGCTTCAGGGGTTGCCCGTGCGTGTCCTCGGCATATGGCGCACGGCCATATTGCTCAGGTGCACGGCCGTGCAGCCTCCCTGGTCTGCCCGTGCAGCTCCCCAAAAACCTCGCCATTCGTCCGTTCTTCGTCCAATCGACCCCAGACTCGCTCCTAAGCCTTCATTCACGTACTAGGACCTGAAACATCACAAACAAGCACAACCTAGCGTGAAATCGGCCTAAAACACGAGAATCAACACCTCAAACGGTGTAAGAACGGGGGTAAAAACATGTGTAAATGACGGTCTATCAATTATCTTACAAACAAAGCCAAAGTCGACATTCAGGATGAACAACCAGAACAAACAGAAACGGTCCACCTTGAATAAAATAAGGTCGACCTATTGGGTTGATCTTTGTTACCTCGCAAGTACGGAAGTCCGAGTGTTGTGCTCTAAATTCAATTCTGAACAATTGTCAAACAAAGGTCGACCTAATTGAGATAAGGGTCGACTGAATGGTATTCTGCACGCGAATGATCTTCTTCACAAAGGCCTTAACCGTAAAAAAAATAAAATAAACCTAATTCAGAGTTTTGGTAGCGTTAAAGGTGACTTATATTCGTATTTATAGATATTTAGGACGTGAATGGGTCGAATTAAGTGGTAGATAAGTTAGGGTTACCTTTCTGGTGTTGGAATCCTTATCCAATACGGATACGGTGTACATGCGATCGACCTCGTACGTATGCGGTCGACCTATTAGGTGCACAATGGTCGGTCTATGAGGTATATGGGTTGACCTTTCATTTTGTTCGACCCCCAAGGAGGTCGACCATTTTCTATAAACGATCGACCGCGTCGCTAAACCTCACATTACTAAAACAACACATTCGGTCGACCTCCTCTATAATTTCTCATAAACGCCTATGCAACTTCTGGAAATCAACCATCCGCGAACTAATTATTTCTCAATATATATTTAGTATGAGTAACATTGTTTAGTATCATTTTCGCCCTTAGTTGTGAATTTGTCACCGTAATTGGCACCGTATCTCATCTCTCCTAATTAAAGAAGTAGTCAATTGATATTTCGGTAAAAAGTTCAACAAATTATTAAGGGTTAATAGCATTTTATACCCCTCTACTATTGTGAATTAACAAACGTACCCCTCGACTATTATTTTGTACAAACATGCCCCTCATCTATCAAAACATAACAATAATACCCTTTCGTCACTATTTCAGTCAAGTGACCGTTAACTGAGGTGCGAAATGACTAGTTAGCCCTTCTTTTAACCCTTTTTCAATTCCTTTTTCTAATTATTTGTCACACCCAAAAATAATAACCAACAATATTAATTAATTTGATAAATCCCCACCAGCATCTTTCCACTTTCTTATTCCGCATTCACCAGAGTCCAAACCAACAGTCGTTCATCATCCTCAACAGTCAACACCGAACCAGATACCCCTCCGATAAACAACTTCTCCGCCGTCGTCCAACTCCTCCGGCACCCTGTGTACTCTACGACGACGGCAATGCAGTAGATTCTATGGGTGCGAGCACAAAAAAGGGCAAGCATCAGCGTCAATGGCTTGAATCTTAATGAAGAGAAGCCACATTGTCCATTGTTGTAATTCCGCATCTTTCTCCGTCCGTTGACAGATAGACGAGGATAACGAGTCTCGTATAGATCTAGTCGTCCTTCGTCTCCTTTGTATATTCACCTGATTTTATCGTCAGTGCCACTGGGGAGCATATGAGAGAGAGGGATCTCCGATTTCGGTTGGCATTGCAGACGAGATCTCAGATCTGATGACGAACGGAAAAACGACACAGATTTGGCGACGAAAATTGAATTGAAGAAAACAATAGGAGTCAGTCGATTTATTTACTCAATTCCATCGGAGCGAATGTGGCAGTAGCTTTCAACCCAATCTGGTTGATCTGTGGGATTAAGACCAAAGTCTGCCGCGGGGAAGTCAATCTTATTCCGCCAGAGGCAGCGGAGGCCAAAGTCGGCAGTGGGTTCGAGATTTGAAAAGAAGGAAATTTGTACGGGAACTGGGGAGTGCTTTGGAACTAAACACTGAATTATAATCGTTTGTGAACTTGATAATTAAACACTGCAGAGAGAAGAGTGCTTGAAGAGGGAAAATGGGAAAGAACAACGAGAGAGGAACAAGGTGGGAACAACATTTTGTCGTTTACTTTCATTTTTGTTTCCTGTTTTTTAGAAAACAGATGTTGAAAACAGGTGAAAACAACATTTTGTCATTTCCGAAAACAACAGGAAGTTGTCACTTTCTGTTTTCATAGTTGGAAACGAATAGAAAACAGAATGAAAAGTAAACAAGTTTTCTCATTTCGGTTGCCAAATTTATCACATGAAAACAGAAAACAGGAAACGAAAATGAAAGTGAACAGGGGCTGAGGGAAAGGGATAATTAGAAGAACATAAATAAATTTTCTACTTTTTTCATTGCAAAAATATTTATATAATAGTGAGGGTAAATTGGTCATTGCATCTCCACTTTTACAGTCACTTAACGGAAATTATGATGGAAGGGTATTATTGTTACGTTTTGAAAGATGAAGGGTATGTTTGTTCAAAATTATAGTAGAGGGGTAGATTTGTTAATTTACAATAGTAGAGGGATATAAAATGCTATTAACCAATTATTAATGCCAAATATACTATGTTAAAGAAGTTAAGAAAAAGAATGAAAGACGATATTATAAGCCAATTCCAAGAACAAGTCTTGTTAGAGAGAGACAAAAAGGATCTAAGCTTATCTCACAATTCATAATTTATACCTCGCAATTTCAATCCCAACTAAATATACCCCCCAATAAACTTGAAGCTTTTCTTACTTAACTTAACCACACACAGGCGCATTTGGGAAAATTCCATAGCTAGGATTCTAACAATATATGAATCTCTTACCCAAAAAAACAAAAACACACAATATAGGAATCCAAAATTCTCTTGTAAAAAAATTCGAAGTTAAAATCACTATACACATAGGACGCAATTAGTGGTGTGCAACGGTTCGGTCCGCCGTTTGTACTGGACCAAATTCATGAGAACGACGATATATTTTTGAAAGATATCTCAGTATCAAGAATCGGATCATCATTATATTCGGTCCGGTCTAATTATCAATTTGGTCTATATTTTCTTCAGTAATTATAAAATTCATAAGACCAAGGACGAGACTGTATTATACTCGATTCGGTACGATCCGATCCAAACACTGATTTGGTCCTGAGGCGGTTCTATCTAGAGGACGTAATTAACTTGATGAAGCTACTACCGATATATCCCGCTACTCTTCATCCGCCTTGTATAAAATGGCCTTACGAATCCAAGTGCTCATGATGAATCAGTTCATAAAAGGGTACGTGGGAAATCATCAAATGGCTTCTATTTCCGCCTTCAAAGGTGGTTTCGCGAAGCTAGTTCTTGTTCATCACCTGTTGCTTCCATGGGTGCTGGTTCTAGCAGAAGGAAGAGACAGTCATCGTCATAGTACTACCATCGCCGATCCCACGAAAGGGTTCGTCGCTCTTCCACTTACAGTATCCCACATGGAGGTTCAGTGGCCGTACGATCTGCGCGAGGAGGAACGTTACAGCTACCGCAATGGCGTTCACACGCTCGAGGTCTACTCGACGGACAAGCCGCACACCAGGGACAGCCACACCAAGCCACGCACCGAAGTTCGCATAACGGTAACTCGATCACACAAACCAAACGACCGACCAACCGACTTCTCTTATTTTTTGTAACGATCACTTCATATTATTGTATAGGGATACGATTATTCGTCGGGAGTGTGGCAGTTCGAAGGGCAGGGGTACGTGCCCCGCGGCACGTCCGGTGTGTGCGTAATGCAGGTGTTTGGAGCGGGTACCGGCGGCCACGCGTCGACGGTGGCCATTCGAGTTTACGACGGTGCTCTGGCTGCTTATAGATCCACTATTGTTCCCGACATCTACGACAGATGGTTTAGGTTGAACGTGATTCACGACGTCGAGGCTAGAGAAGTTGTTGTTTATGTTGATAGGGTTCTTGTTTATCAAGGAGGGGATCATGGCGGGAGCTCTCATTACTTCAAGTTCGGAGTCTATGCTCAGGATGGTGCCTCCGATTACATGGAGTCGCGTTGGAAGGGAATCAAGATATTCAACAAGAAGTAAGAACTAAGGAGAAGTAATGGAATTTTGTGTTTTAATAAGTGGGCAGATGGAGAGGAATTGGAAAAAAAAAATAAATAAATAAATAAGTGGACTGATTTTTATGTGCAATAGTGCTCGATGGAATAGTTTTACAAAAAGGGGAAAGATGCAACACTTTTATAGTGTTGTCGTGGTGTTAATATTAAATTCATCATATCAAACATTAAACTCTTTAAATCATTCAAAGTTACTATTTTATAGAGTCACATCATAAGGTTGTTCTTTTGTAATTAACCAAAATTTGGAAGAGTTTTTGTGCCATTAAAGTTTAAATTAATTAACTTATGATAAATTGAGCCTAAATTGGACCCAAATCAATGGGTAGTCGACCTAATTAGACTCGGTTAAAGTGAGTTGAACCCGGTGTTTACGAATTTTGGTTCGACAACGAGTTGTACATGCTTGCCATTAAGGTTTGAATTAATCAAGTTATGACAAATTGAGCCCATATTTGACCCAAATCAATGAGTATTCGACTTAATTCGACCCGGTTAAAGCGAGTTAAAGCCGACCCGGTTAAAGCAAGTTGAACCTGGTGTTGATGAATTTTATGCTCTTTCTGTAATTAACCAAAGCTTGGAGGAGATTTTGTGCCAAAAAAATTTTAATTAATTAACTTATGAAAAATTGAGTCCAATTGTACCCCGAATGAATGGGTAGTAACCTAATTAGACTTGGTTAAAGCGAGTTGAACCCGGTGTTGACGAATTTTGGTTCGGCAATGAGTTTTACATGCTTGCAATTAAGGTTCGAATTAATCAAGCTATAACAAATTGAGCCCATATTGGACCCAAATCAATGGGTATTCGACCCGGTTAAAGCGAGTTGAAGCCGACCCGGTTAAAGCAAGTTGAACCCGATGTTGATGAATTTTGTGCTCTTTCTCTAATTAACCAAAGTTTGGAGGAGATTTTGTGCAAGCTAAGCTGGATTAAAGCAAGTTGAACCCGGTGTTGACAAATTTTGGTTAGACAACGAGTTTTACATGCTTGACATTAAGGTTCTAATCAATTAACTTATGACGAATTTAGCTCAAAGTGGACTCAAATCAATGGGTATTCAACCTAATTCGACCTTGTTAAAGCGAATTGAACTCGGTGTTAACAAATTTTGGGTCGAGAACGATTTTTACATGTGTCGGGTTGGGTGGTTACCTAATTCTCTTAACTCACTTTTTGTAATTGACGGGGTTGGGTCGGGTGTGGATTTATTTCCTTTTGTTCGTCACCAGCAGGCCTCTGACTCTGATGAAGATCCATCGATGGAGGATCCTCACTCCTTTGAAATCAAGCGCCGATCACCTACTGGTGCCTCCATGAAGACCCCCCCAAGTCATGAAAGGACGTTTTCACCAAGTGGTGGAGGCTTTTGAAGCTGGGCTTATCATTGGGCAGGTGGAGGATGTTCCCCACAAGGGTTGAGCTTGAACCTGAATGAATATGGGTCTAATCTGGTGGACCCAATCATGGGGAATCGTAAACGTGTTCTCGAGGAGGTGGATGGGGATGTGGGAGACCTTCCTACCCCGAAGAAGCAATTTGTGGAGTCAACTGATGATTTGGAGAAGGTATAGGAAGCCAGCCTCGAGTGGCCCCCAGCCGATAAATGAGGCTTCTGGCCTGGAATGTGAGAGGAATTGGGCCATCCCTCACCTTCCAAAATGCTGTAGGGCTTGTTCATTCTAATAAACTGGCTCTCGTGTTTTTTCTGAAACGCGATCGAGTAGTGTCCCGTCGTATGCGGGGTTTAGGTTTTGCTCTTTCTCATTGCTTTTTTGTAGATGCAGTCGATGCATCTGGTGGTTTAGTAGTCGCTTGGTCCCCCGGGGTTGACACTTCGGTGTTTTGTCATTCCAATTTCTATATTTGTTCGCAAATTAATGAAGGAGATTTTTCTTATGTGGTGATCTCTGTCTACATTTTTTGTAATGTTGTTGTTCGAGCCAATCAATTGGCTCATCTGCGAGAAGTTTGCGCGACTATTCATCACCCCTATGTGATCATAGGTGATTTCAACACTACCCTCCATGAGGGAGAAAAAGATGGGGGTCAGTCATGGAGTGTTGCGCAAGCCATTAGTCTTCGAGATTTTGTTCATGATTTGGGGCTCCATGACCCAAGCTACCAAGGGGATGAGTTCACTTGGACCAACAAGCGTATGGGTGCAGCATGCATTCGTGAACTTCTGGATAGAACACTTTGCTCCCAATCCTGGATTGATACTTATCCGGAGACTCTGGTCAAACACTTTACGGACCAGGGATCGGATCATCGTGCCCTTCTTCTCGTTGATAAACTTTATATTCGGAGTAGTGGGCCTCAGTTACGGTTTGATGCTCGTTGGGCGGATAACCCAGAGGTTAGGGCTATGGTCCAATATATCTGGCAGGAGGAGATCCAAGGTACCCCTATGTTTCGACTATGGGAGCGCCTCAAGAAACTTCGTCACCTGCTTTATGATTGGAGCAGGGTGGGCACTACGAATTCCCTGTGGAATATTAAGACGCTCTAGGCAGTGATTGACCGAATCAAGTCAATCCATCCGGTAGATTGGGATGTGATCAAGACCCTAGAAACGGAGCTGACTCGTCAGTGGGAAGCGGAAGAGATATACTGGCAACAAAAGTCTAGAGTCCGATGGTTAAAAAAGGGAATCAGAATTCTGCTTATTTCCATACGATCACTCGCGCGCGACAGAAAAGGAATTTTGTTTTGGGCTCCGGAATGATGAGGGCGAATGGGTCACTGAGGAAAGTGGGAAGGCTACTATTGCTACCAACTTTTACCAGGTTCCTGATGACCGATAGGGTGGCGAATCTCCCTATTTCCCATAGTGTTATTCCGCAAATGAATGCGCTGTTGACGGCGGAGGTATTGCCTGATGAGGTTCGGAGAACGGTCTTTTCAATGGGTTCGAAGCAGGATCCGGGGTCTGATGGCTTTATCGGAAAGTTCTTCAAAGCATTCTGGGATATTGTGGGCACCTCGGTGATTGATGCACTATGTTCATTCTTTAGAACTAGCCGAATGTTGCGGAGTTTTAACCATACCTGGCTCACTTTGATTCCTAAAGGTGATTCTGTGGAAACAATCCGCCAGTTGCGGCCGATCAGCCTATGTTAGTTTGTTTATAAAGTGATAACCAAGATCATGGTTGAACGGCTTGCAGGTCTACTCCCTCAGATTGTTTCTGAGGGTCAGAATGCGTTTATACGAGACCGGCAAATTATCGATAACATCCTTCTCGAACATAAGTTAATGCATTATCTAAAAATAAAGAAGCAGGGGAAGAAGGGGCACATGGCTCTAAAGGTTGACATGGAAAAGGCCTTGGATAAAATGGGTTTTAACACTGTCTGGCAAGGATGGATACATGAATGTCTTTGCTCCGCTTCTTTTTCGGTCCTGATGAATGATACGCCCTCGGGTTATTTCAATTCCTCTCGGGGGCTCCGATAGGGGGATCCATTGTCGCCTCTCTTGTTTGTGATATGCACGGAGGGGTTTGAGGCCCTTCTTTGGAAAGCGATCTCGGAAAAGAAGTTGGAGGGGGTGAAAGTGGCTCCTCGTGCTCCTAGAATCTCGCATTTGTTCTTCGCGGATGATTCCTATTTATTCCTGCAATTTTTTCTTCAGGAGTGCGAGAATTTAATTGAGGTGCTGAATGAATATGAGGAACTGAGTGGTCAATGGGTTAATCTCGAGAAATCGGCAGTCTGTTTTAGCAAAAATGTTGCCCTGCCAGATCAAGAGTTCTTGGCCACGATTCTAGGGGTCGGTGCAGTAGGGGTCCATGACAAGTATTTGGGGTTACCCACTTTGATTGCCCACTCAAAAATAGCTACGTTCCGATATCTGGAGGAGAAATTACTTGAGCGACTGCAGGGGTGGAAGCAAAGGACATTGTTGTGGGCGGCAAAGGAGACAATAATTAAGTCAATAGCTTTGGCCTTACCCTTGCATGTTATGTCGTGCTTCCGGTTGCCCCTCTCTCTTTGTCGACTTTTGGATAGACTGTGGCCCGGTTCTGGTGGGGTGCTGAGGAGGGCCATCCCAAGGTTCGGTGGGTGTCCTGGCGCAATCTGTGCAGGAGTAAGCATGATGGGGGGATGGTATTTCGCCGTTTTGAACATTTTAACCAAGCTCTTTTAGCAAAAATTGGCTGGCGTATCTCAATGAACCTCGTTCCCTTCTTGCTCAAGTGTAGAAAGGAAATTATTTTCCTCAAGGAACTTTTCTGGCCGCCACAGCTCGTTCACGCCCTTAATGGGGATGGGCCGGATGGCAGAGTATCCTATTTGGGCGCCAGTTATTGGAGGCGGGTTTAAGATGGCAGATCGGCAATGACCTATCGGCCTCCCTTCTCCACTCTAACTAGATTCTAGGGCTACAGGTGGATCGCCCTTGCTATAATACCCGGGTCCTGCCAGATGGGGGTGACCCCTTGGTGGCGGAGGTTATTTGTCACGGGGAAGGGCGTTGGGATGATGACAAGGTTAGTCAATGGTTTGACCTGTCTACCTGTCATGCCATTAAGGCTATCCCACTTCCGCGGCAGAATGTGGCTGATAAACTTATCTGGCACAACACATCTGACGGGGTGTTCTCGGGTAAGTCGGCTTATCATTTGTCTATTGAGCTAGACAGGAGGAGGGGTGGGTGGCGGTCATCGGTTAGTTGGATGGATAAGCCCAGTTGGATCTGGCTGTGGGAAGCTAAGATCCATCCAAAGCTAAAAGTCTTTGTCTGGCAAATTCTTCATCGCGCTCTATCGACCACCGAGGCTCTCATTGAAAAAAAAGGTTCCTCTGTTGCCCCGCTGTCCGGTGTGCTGGGATGGTCCTGAGACGATGGAGCACATGTTTCTTTACTGCCCGGTTGCACGGGCTCTCTGGGACTACTCGTGATTGGACTATTTGGGGGAGGGTTTGCCTCGGAACACGTTTATATTGTTTCTCTAACAGATGGCCGCCCTTGTCCATCAAGCGTCGCTGTTCATGGCTGTGGTTACCGTCCTTTGGCGGATCTGGCGGTCGCGTAACTGGATTGTCTTTGAAGGCAAACAATTTGAGGAATGGGTGGGCCTGCCGGTTGACCAGGCGCCGAGGGTGTCTTGCCCGGTGGTTCAGCCAGAGACTCAGGTGGCCGATTCTCGATTGGTTTGCATGTGGGATGGGGTCACTAGGAGGGGGTCACACTCGGCTGGTGGGATGGTTCTTTTTTATCCAGTGCGGACGCTCCTTTTGGCCAAAGGGGTGCATATTCCTCAAATTGATGAGCCAATGGTAGTAGAGTTTCTTGTGCTTCGGGAGGCTATTAATTGGTGTTTGGAGTGTAGCTTGTCAGAAGTTCGGTTCGAGGGCGATGCAAAGGTCATTATCGACAAAATTACCGACACAGGCGACAACCGGTTGGGGGCGGTCCTGGAAGAGATATGTCACCATTTTCGTGCCCATCCTGGGTTTAGTGTGCGGTTTGTAGGTCGGTAGAACAATAGGTAGCTCACTCGGTAGCTAGAAAAGCCCTCTCTTTGTACCCGACTGTAAGTCGCTTCTTTGATTTCCGCGCCTGACTGATTTCCAGGATGTAACTATCTATTTGATTGGATTAATATATGTTATCTTTTGACAAAAAAAAGACCATCTTCATATTGAGGTCCTTTTTGCTCATTTTTGTCAGGTCAGAGTTTGCACGGGAGAGACAGGATGGAAGACTATGCACCCTAATGATTTGATATATACACATGTTTTTTGTCCACCATTCTTACACCGTTTGAGTCTTGTTTCTCGTGTTTTAGACCGATTTCACGCTAGGTTGTTCTTGTTTGTGATATTTCAGGTCCTAGTATGTGAATGAAGGTTTGGGAACAAGTTGTGGGTCGATTGGACGAAGATTAAACGGTTGGCGAGAAGCTGGGAAAGCGACACGGGCACGCCTAAAATCCCACACGGCCGTGTGACTTGGCCGTGTGGCACCATTTTTCACTGGCAAGCCAATTTCGAGCCAAAGGAGAGAGAATTGACTTTTTGGAGCAAAAACAGAGTTTTAGAGAGAGAAAGTGCGAAGAACACATCCTAGAGGTGATTTTGGAGCTGGGTTTCATCAATCGAGGTTGGAGATCATCATCCCAGAGGAGATTTTCCTCATCTTTATGAGTATGACTACTCTGATTACTATTTTCCTCTCTCTCTCTATGGAGTAGAACCTTCTCTCACTTGGGTATGAAGAACCCTAGTTCCATGTGTTAGGGATCTTGATTGTAATGACTTGGGATTGTTATACTATATGATTTTAATCGATTGATGCATGATTCAGTGAGTCAATTGAAGTCTGATCATCTTTTCTTGATTTCTGCTGCAACCTGAGATAGATAGAATTTGATTAGGTTGTTAGAGCTTCATCAATCGGTAGTGGTAGATTGGTTATACGAGAGTTAATCAGTCTACTGCTTTGTACTGGAACCCAATTCCAGTAGCGGAGTTTTGTGCTTAATGCCTCAGTCGTCTATCCCGGTGAAGGTTAGTCGCCTGCCCGTTAGCCTGCCTGAGAGGGCTTGGTCAGCTTAAGAGATTCCAAGCTACTGTCGGATCTTCCGCAGTTTAATCAACAGTTAATCAACCCACGGTAATTACAACTGTGACCTAACTAAGGAGCTAGAGGGACTCATTCCCGAGTGACTCTTCCTTTGCTTTAGAAAACTGAACCATTTCCTGCTTTCTTACTGCTTTTAGTTAAAACACAATCACTCAACTTAGTTTGCTAGATAACAGATATACACGGAGTAGGGAGTAGATTTAGACCCCGGGTCGACAATTAGAGCTTGCCTCTTACTGCATTTCCGGACTACGATTACACTTGGTCGCAGTTTGGTGTTGTGTTTTAGCGTGTCACACCCAGATGGTTAGTTTTTAAAGCAGTGGAGCCTTTAGTTAATACGCATCATTAGTATTCTTCTTTATTTTGTGGATTTTCATATCTAGGCTTTGTTCTTTGCATATTTTAGGAAAAAAAATTAAAATACACATGTTTTGAAAAAAAATCTCAACATACACACATTATAAAAAAATTGTGAAATGCTTTCCAAGTTGGCTTTATATTTACTATTTGTTGTCATCAAATCATATTCTTCTTATAATTGACTGTATAATTCCCTCTTTTGCATCTGTTGTAGTTATTGGGGATATGATCATATTCGCTGCAAATGGTTGGGATATGAAGCTGTATTCTTATTTTTCATATGTTGCTTAAGAGCCGAGAATTATACTATATCTCTATTTTCATTTTCTCAAGGTTTGGTATACCGTATACGTGTAACAGTTGCAAAAGTATGGCCTGATATTGTTATTTTTTCTTTTAGAGGGGGATGAGGGATGATTAAGAATTGTTGCATTTGAGTACATCGAATTGAAAATTGTTGTTAGTGATTTAATGATCTAATTTATTCGCATTGAACTTGCCCCGCCGTGCAACACGGGCTTCCCTTCTAGTTGCATTTTAAAATTGACAAACAAAAAAATTATTAATCTACCGATATCATGTCTCCTATTGATTGAAATATCATAACAACACTATTAAGTGTTATTATGGACAACATGCATGGAGTCCTTCTAGCAAAAAAAAAAAAATGAGAGGTTAGAGTTTTAGGGAGCCTGATTGATGAGAGTGAGCAGTACAATCAAAATCACGCATTAAAACGTAAAAATGTACGTTTTTACATATTTAGGCCACAAAAATGATTCAGTTTCTACCTTATCTCACTTGTATTCCTAGGATCGTTAAATTCCGTTGGTCCACCTAGTCCTAATCTTACTCACGAATGATTTTCTTCGCTATACAGTGAGCTCCTGAAGCATTTTCCTATTATAGGAGTGTTTTCAATGGGTGTTCTCTTATAAAAATCTGAATCGAACCCAAAAATGAATCAGATAGTAGCAAGGTTGTCAAACCGGATTAAGTCATCAAGCCGTTTTGACAAGGGGTTTGGAATTCAATAGTCGAATCGGGGTTCAATCGGATTAAACAGGTTTTGACGTGGACTGCGACCGGGGGGGGGGGGGGGGGGGGGGGGGAGCTCAAGCGCCGTCGTTGGGGGGAGCTCAAGCACCGCCGTTGCGGAGAGCTCAAGCGTCGGCAGTGCAGGGAGCTGTGGGGCAGAGAGCGACCGACGAGATGGACTGCTCTACTATGGCTGCTCTCTCCAAGCAACAAGGCGTTTTGTCTATATAGCCGGGAGCCGGTAAATCCGGTCAGAGCCCGGCTTCGACCGGATTTAACCGACTTTGATCGGCTAAAAAGTTTAAAGTGTTACTTTTATATGAAAAAGGAAAACCATAACAAAACCAAAATGTTGAATATAATTCGGACTGTCTCACTCTATCTACAAAAGAAGAAAAATATCTTGCCCAATAATGACTGCATTAAATAGAAAGGACCATAGCAGCATACATTGGGAGGATAGAAGCCAACAGATAGATTTTCCAACCTTCAAAAGGATTCGACAGTTAATGAAAAACACAGAACCGATTCATAAGGAAACAAACAACTAGAAAATCAAACAGTTCAACGATCCTTAAGCAGAACATGACCAATCCTACAAGAAGCAAAAGCATCAATGCAAGCACACTCAATCTGCTTCTCCTCAAGAATCCTCTGCTGCCAATCACTCCTGCACACACTCATCGGCTTCGGCATGCTAATCCCAGCAACTTCCTTAGCAATATCTTTCAGCCCAGGTTTCCTCCAGAACATATTCGGCCATTTCGCCAGAGTGACCTCACGAACATCAACCACAGAAGTGCAGCTCAGCCCGTAATCAGCACCGAGTTTTGCGACGTCGCGCTCCACCTCGACGCCGACGAAAGTGTGATTCGGGTCACGGAGGAAATCCTTGAGGGACTGGGGAATGTAGTCGAGGTAGAACAGCTGGAGGATGAGGCATTTGGTTCCCACGCAGAGCTGAAGCAGAGCTGTCTTGTTGTTCATGAACGGGGTGGTGTTGGGCCTCCACTCACAGTCCAGGCCCACTATAAGTTTCCGGCCTGCAGGAATGGAATGGACCCAGTTGTCGACGACGGAGGCCCTGCTGGTGACAGTGGTTTCTATTGCTTCGCCGGAGAAGTGGGTGATTCTGACATTGTTGGTTGCCATTGCTCCGTTTTTGCTGTTATGATGCGTTTGGGATGATGAGTGAAGAATGGTTTTGCGGTGGTATCATTGTTGATATATAAAAGCCACAGTTTGGGTACTGTTCATTAGTGGCCCTCAGTTTCTTTGCCGCGAGTGGGATTCGTCCATTTGTTTCTCATTCACTCAGTCACCAATCCAACTTCCAACACCCAAAAGTTAAGAGTAAATTCTATTACCCCACTCGCCAGTTCAGAACCTTTGGATCCATTTATTATACAATGGGTTTGCATATTGTATTCTCCTTCCTCCCCTGTCACTTTCCCACTCAAAGTTGCTTTTCAGCAACAGAGACAACCTTTCTCCAACTCTTTCCAGCTTTCACACCCACACGCAAGCTCCTTCATCTTCTTTTCCTCTTTTTCTTTGGCCCTCTCACCTTCTTTTCACAGCCATAGCTTCTCTCTTCCGCCCATCTCACCTCTTCCTCTCAACTCGGTGACTGAATCCCACCTCCGAAGCTCTCCGACTTAGTCGACGGGTCGATAAGAACATACTTTCGCCTTCGAACTCACTGATAAAATTCTTATTGAGAAGCTCGCCGATCAAATATATAAAAGCCACAGTTTGGGTACTGTTCATTAGTGGCCCTCAGTTTCTTTGCCGCGAGTGGGATTCGTCCATTTGTTTCTCATTCACTCAGTCACCAATCCAACTTCCAACACCCAAAAGTTAAGAGTAAATTCTATTACCCCACTCGCCAGTTCAGAACCTTTGGATCCATTTATTATACAATGGGTTTGCATATTGTATTCTCCTTCCTCCCCTGTCACTTTCCCACTCAAAGTTGCTTTTCAGCAACAGAGACAACCTTTCTCCAACTCTTTCCAGCTTCCACACCCACACGCAAGCTCCTTCATCTTCTTTTCCTCTTTTTCTTTGGCCCTCTCACCTTCTTTTCACAGCCATAGCTTCTCTCTTCCGCCCATCTCACCTCTTCCTCTCAACTCGGTGACTGAATCCCACCTCCGAAGCTCTCCGACTTAGTCGACGGGTCGATAAGAACATACTTTCTCCTTCGAACTCACTGACAAAATTCTTATTGAGAAGCTCGCCGACTTGATCTGCGCGACGGTGAAAGGGGCTAAGAATACCGCTCCTCCTTGGAACTCGCCGGCGGAATCCCAACTCAGAAACTGCCTGACTTAATCTCAGGTACCGCCTCCTCCTTGCCCTTTATTGGTTGAATCCCATTCCCAAACTCATATCTCCTTTCCACCCTAGAATCTCAGGTCTTGCATACCTTTCTTGGCGGAAACCCATGTCCCAATGCCTATCTCTCTCCCGCTGTCCATGAAGACGAAGAAGAAGAAAAGGGGAATCATTAAAGTAGAGGGAGAAGATGCAGAGGAACTACTTCTACATCGATTCAATCTTACTCATCCGTCTGCGTTCATCTTTTCTTTCAATCTATCACCAACCTATTCTCTCCCCTCTGAAGTGGCCAAAACCGGTATGCCTTTACTGCCAGACTATGAGTTGTAATAAAATCACTTTCTTGATTGGAATCCTGAGTTCCCGGTTATTCGCATACCATTTGCGGCCACTGTCGGGGGAATACTGGGTTTTCGTCCCTTCGTCGATTTGCTGCTATTTGAATGGGTGATTCGGTTCGAACCACTACTCTCCATCCCCTTTCAGCGCCTGCTCTCTACCACCTCCGAAGATCCTTCGCATATTGTATTGTTGAGAATCAACGATTCAGCTTGCACATTAATATATCAAGTAGATATGGTTTAACTTCATTAGTTTTTGACAACATCATGTTGCAATACCTCAAATTTCATTTTGTAATTTCTTCTGTTTGTTTTATTTTATCTTCTGTATGTTAGTGGTTCACTGGGTATAGTAAGCTCCTTATTAGTTGATTTAGACATCTATATCTAGAACATTGACTGCTAAGCTCTTAAAAGAGGGTATGCTGGTTGCATGACAGGAGCTGTTGGGATGTGGTGGTTGCTAGCAATGAAAATTCTGTATAATTTTTTTGTTTTTTTTTAGACTTGGGTGTATATACTTACATTTTTACTCTTTTTGGATTTGATACTGAACGACTTTCTCAAACTTCCTTTTGCAGAAAATGCTCCATGACAACATCCTCTCTTGAATGCCCCAGCTTGGTCATTACAACCGAGTTCTGTGCCCTCTAAGGTGGCGCTAGAGAGCAACGTGACAGATCACACTCCTGTAAAAACTGAGGTGATTACTGATTCAGGTGTTACACGGACAACTCTCAACCATTGTTTGGTTCAAATGTTGGGCTTGCAGTTACTTTGCTTAGTTTTTCGTCATGCCTTTGCCTCAGAGCCTTTACTAATACCCCTGGGATGTTATTCACTTTTGTATTGGTGTTTCATTTTTTACATAGCCTAGCCATTGTGTTTTCCTGGTTTAATTCATAAGTGGTTAGAGAAATTTCTCTTCTCTTTGCAATTTTGCCTCATGCCTCTTGGATGTTCTTCGATTGAGGTTTGGTCTATACATTTATGTGAGGTTTACAATTCAATTCAGATTGGGTATATTGTTGCTTTACATGTGCTCTTTTCCCTACTTGATTTAGTCTTAGACGTGGGTAGAATTAGGATTGGCAATGAGTTTTGTCTCATACATGTTCACTTTGAAATTAGTGTTCACCTTTACTATTGAGTTTACTGTTCGGTTACTTATTACAGTTACATTTCTTTGCCTACCATCATGTCTCTCCCTCATAATCTTTGCTTTTTTCAACTAGCTGTTCGCTTTGTTGGAACCAAACAAGAATGTCGCAATAGCCTTTAGATTATATCATGTTGGTTAGTTGCTTTGCAACAAAAAACCTTCTGCCAAGCATATCTCATATTAATAGATCATAGTTATGCAGACTTTGGAAACACTTTTTACATGAAATGGTGAGGCAATGCTCTAATTTCTATCTAAAATTGCTGTAAATCCATCTCTCAGGGAAACTTACTGGCTATGATTGCCTCTTTTCTCTTACTAAAGTGACCAACTACTTACAGCAACTCAGGTCTCACAGTATGGTTTGTTCTTCTAAAAGAAGATAGCATAGTTTGTTGACTGTGATTTTTTTTTTATGCAGGTGATTTTATAGTTGTGGTGGAGAATGCCAAAAGGTGAATGGTAGTAAGAAGAATATGTGGTTCTGAATTAGTTTCTTTGCTGAGTTTTTTGGATTAGTTTCTTTGCTTTTCTTTACTCCTCTTTATGTGGTTCTGAATTTGACAGGGTAGAAACAACCAAGGAAGCTTTGCAATAGAGAAGCCTGACCTGTGAGTCAGAGCAAATGAGGTTGCACATTAATCTCATCAACATGACATCAGGGCATCTCAAGTGGTGGTTTGTTTACTATTTAATGTCCTCATTTTTTAACGTGAACTATCTGGACTTATCATTTGCCGATCCTTCAAGTTTTTGTGCGGTTCTTAGAGAAATTGCAGTAGATACACAAACCCCACAACCCTTAGACGTGCCAAATTCATGGTTTTCTCCATATCCACCATTTCGTTAATCGCCATTTCTGTTGCCTCTCTACCCTGCTTATTGTTGTGTCCTACAATCCAATCACTACAATATTGCACATTGAATTTCACTGCTGTTGTAATCTTACATCCTTTTTTAAATGTGAATAATGTCATTTCTATTTTATGCATGGTTTATATTGTAAGTCCATGACCCGTTTGGTTGTCGTTGACTATGGAACTGCGTTTTACTATTTGTTCAGATATGATATGGTTGCAACCTGCTGTAATGATCCTTCATTTGCCATCATAAACTCGACCAATACTGGCTCTTTCGGATTTCAGCTCTACCAATCCATAACCTCCCTCAGTAAGTTCCTATCTAATCAATCCCGACTCTTTCCTTTAATCGTCCTCTCATCTTGACATCTTTTATTCTCCATATGGCACTAATTATCGTTATCATCTTTTGTTTCGTAGTCTGGGACTTGTGGTATATATGTTTTATCGCTTTGTTTATTAAAACAAACATACAAAACCATAGAGCTCCGAACTGCGGTTGTGTCGCATTTTTAAAACAAACATACATGTATTACTACCTTCTCCCTGAAAGATGTTGTATGATACAAATGCTTTCTCAATGCTCTTACGTTTGCCGCTTCCATTTTCCTAGCCCCTTAGAATTACGATCATCTTTGTTGTGCTCCTTTCATCCTTGATAATTGTTTAGGCACTTTGGATCGGGGATAATTGGTTCGACCTTGCTGTTTCTTTGTTAGTTAATTCTTGCTTTCATGATCCCGTTGTTGCCATCTCTGTTTGCCATTTGTTGTAACTATATACCCTTTTTTACTCAATTTTCCTACTTGCCAACGCGCGAGTTTGAAATAGGCTGATGATCAATAATGTTTACCTGTATCACTGAGAAGGATAGATTTGTATTTCAGAATATTTTGCGCCATTATTTTTTACGGTGGACGTTTGGAGGTGCAACCAAGCTTAAAATGCTTATCATTCTTTGATTGCCATCAGTTTTCGGACAAAGTATACATGCACTGAACCTGGCTTGATTTAGGATTTCCTTATTCTAAATTTTTGTATTTTTTTTCAACAGTCCAAATTGTTATCTTTCTTCCTTCTCTACTGTGTTCTTTCTGTTTTCGTTTTAGTTGGTCTTTCCATCCATTTGTTAAATCACTTGAATCCTATTTGCTTCTTCAAGAAATCCTACTCTATTTTGCAGTTCCTCGAGTACAATCAGAGTATATCTCATTCCCAAAATGCTTCTCTTAAGAATCGAACATGCCTGGAATTGCAAACTTCCTAATTTTCATATGGTTCTTCCCTGCTTTTACTTTAACGAGTCCCAAAATATAAAGGCCATAAAGTTGGCAATTCCTTCTTAATTTAGTTCGTATGTGTTTTCTTCAATAACCTTGCTTTGTTTTGTTTATTATATATGACTTCCATTTGTTGAGCATTTTATTAGGGAGTGCAGTGGGAGATATGATTCTACCTATTGCATCGAAAGGTCTTACCTCAGGTGGA